ACTAGTATTTCATTACTTTCATTTCAAAGATGAAACCAAATTCCAAGGCAGTTAGCCATCTCTGTGTTGGCTCAGCTAATAAGTACAGAAGAATTCAAGCGCAGAAGCCTGGCATTAGAGTTCTGAGTCTTAGACATGTTGTTCTTCTGCTTCATGTGGTAAAGGACATGAGTACAAATAAACCAGGCATAGGCTTTTTAAAAACTATAGATTTGTCACCTCTTCTTCATTATCATCATCATCATTAACATCTTCCTTACTTATAAGAAAAACTGAACAGAAAGGAACTACTTCATGTGTCACGTCTCACATTCATATTTGACTCTGCATTGTGCTGAAGTGATTCATCCAAATTTACCCAGGGTTAACTAGGCACTTTACATTCTGATTCCTAGAAAATTATGGACTTATTTCATTATAACACCTTTTGAAGTACCATCATGTGCCTTGCCACAGCATGGCAGTTACTTTAAATAAACAGGGATGATTTGACTAAAATTGATTATGTGACCCTGGATTTCTACTTTTTCAAAAAGCGGATCTAGGCTGTGGTCATCAGTTGGTGTTGAGTCATAAAACTCCCAGAAGAAAATTTTAAATTTCATCAAGAAAGCCAAGAAATCCTTCATACCCTTAAGAACGATAGTTACTGTAGTCATATGATTACTACTAGAAAATTAGCAGATCCCAACAAGGTACTGTGTTCTTGAAAAAAGACACTCTATGAGCAGAGGTGGCCTGAATCAGTCATTATTCCATACATCTGCTTTCAGAGAGGATTTCTTAAAAAAATCATTGATATGTTTATGTTGTTTAACCATCTCTCGGTAGAAGAGTACAGTATAGAGCTCGGACTCAAGTTGTGCCGTTGCAGTGGAAGCATATCATGTGGCTAGGTACACTAGCAATTGGAATAACTACACTAAGCAAAGGACTTACATCAAAACAGGACTGAATTCTGTGAATGTGGGTGGTTTCTCTCAGTAAAGGAGCTGCAAGATAGCTATGATAAAGAGAATGTCCCAATTTACGTGATAACAGAGTAACTGATGAGTTAAATAACTAAATGAGAGTGGGTGGTGATTACTATGGCTCTGAGAATTTCCCTGAATGCAGATTCCTTATGATTCTAGCGCAGTGTTGTACAAAAGACTTGAATCAGGGGCTTGTAGTAAGAGTTCTTCATAAAGATTCTTCATAAAGAACCAGCTTCTTTATGAAGAAGTTTCCTTTATGAATAAGTCATTTAATAGAGGAAACTATGTTCTCGGTACCCAACACTAAGTCAGAAGAAACTGAAGATCACATAAATTGGATCTTTAAATGGATTGAGAAGTAGATGAGAGACCATAACCCTCGACTTAGAAAACTGACCACTTCAACAGTCTTTCTGGTTGCTGTTTCTCTGCCCACTTTATAGAAATTGCCCATATATCAGTAAAACTTGTATTACATTTATATATAAAGGTTTATGCCTCAATTTCTTTTAATCTCAAATCTCATAAATATAATAATAGTAGTAAGGATTCAGAGTGAAAGGTGCCATTGTTTAATGCTTTGATTGCTAAATAAAACAAATGGTTGGAAATGTTAGGTTTATAATACTGTAAATGATCTCTTAAAACTAAAGAACTAAAAATATTTTTTAAAAAATGGGTAATGAACACTTGTTCAAGTACATGACTGTTATTTGCTAAAGATTATTTTAAAGACTTCATGTAGCATTAATTTTATTTAATTCTCAGACAACACTGAATACTGTGGTTATCTTTTTACAGATGAGGAAACTGAAAAAGATTACACAGCCAGTAAACAGAAGTTCTGATTTGTAACCCAGCTGGTCTTCCCCCTTGAGCCCATTGTCTTATAGTGTCTTTGGGTAGCTAGTTACTCCATGTTGCCACTTTTTCTGCTTTGCTAAAATGGAAAGATTCAATTTGTTTAGCCATTGGTGTTTAAGTGCCTGCAATGTTCAGCTCCCTTCAGAGGTACAGTTGCTCTCTAAAACCTTAGTTTTCAAGGAAACCGCTGTTCAGAGAAGTAAAAATTAAGGCGAATAAGTAGAGTTAAATTCCCTATAAAACAAATGAATTTCCTCATTGATTGTAAATAACTCTAGTCATTGTGGCATTTTACAACGTGTGGTCTCCCCCAAAGTAGAATGCCAGTGTCTTTTTGTGCCACATGACTTGCAGATACTCTTGGTTTTTTTTCTCTCCACACTTCAGCTTTCTTCTTTCAGTCAGTGTTTTGGAAAGTCCACAAAACCCAGGGGGCTCCCTGTTGGAACCCTGTGGTCTATGTAAAAACCAGGTAATACCACGCTGACTTGGACTTGTTCAGATGGATCACACAGTGCATTAGTCACTGGCAACTTTTTCAGATCCTTTACCTCAGAGACTACACAGTTCCTCATTCTTGCCATCCTTCAGTCATAAAGAAAAATATGTGAGCACTTTTTGAGGGCAACTCCCCCCACTCTCCTTGAGTGCTAGTGACTAATTCCCTCCTGTAGCAACAAAAGAGGGTCCAAATAATATCTGAAGCAATTGAACTTTGATCACTGTATTCCTTCAGGGATCCCATTTGTGTGGAACACCCATCTGATTTCACCCAACTGAAGCATTTCATCACATCTTACCCAGCTGCATTGCTGTGCTGTCACTTAAAAGTAAAATTAGATGGTCTCCCTTGTGCTTTTTCATTTATCTGTTAACAAAGAGCTCAGATGTCAACACAGAGGCGTGGAACCGACATCAGCAATCCAGGGTGTGTGCGGGGACAAAAGCCAACATTACAACAAACCCAGAACTTCTCCTTTCCCATCCTGCACTTAAACAGAAAAGCTTTCTGCCTGGTATAAAAGGGAAAGCATTATTCCCACTTAGCTTTATACCTAGAGGGTTCTTCAAGTGCTAGAGCCTGTTTTAGAAATTACTTATTTGTATTTTAATATGGTCAAAATTAAGTTTTGTAATTAGCTGCTGGTGTCCTTGGGAAGGAGTGGTGCTTTCTGCTGCTATTACTGGACACCGCAAACTGAGAATGGAGAATAAAAGTTGACTTGGCTGCTGATTCTGAAGGCTGGGAAGTTTGAATGAAGTGGCACATCTGATGAAGGCCTTCTATCTGGTCAGGCACACTGCTCAGGGCAGAGTGATGTCCCCGCTCGGTTGTTTCCTCTCCTTTATTTGAAGTCTTAATGCCATCCATCTAGGACCCCTTCCCTCTGACTTCTTTTAATCTTAGTTGCCTACTAAAGATCCCACCTTCAAGTAGCACATTTGGGTTGAATTTCTACCCTTTCACACCTCACACTGAGGGTTACATTGTAATGTGTATTTTCAGTGACCACATTGAATCCACACCAGGGAATAAGCGGATTCAAAGGCAAACCCTTGCACCAACTCTGCAGCAGTATAGAGGAGAGGCCCTAAAGTGTCCAACAGAGCTGCCCTGTTGATTAGAAAAGAGTCTGTCCTTTGTTCGTGAGGGGAATTTTCTCTCAAAATCCTACAGCAAAACAGACCAAGCTATGATCAGCTTCTCAACTCTTGTAGCAAAAGATGGATTCCATTGGGAGAAATTCCTGTTACAACCCTGCCTAAGTGGATATCTACAGTATAAGAAGGCTGATTTCAACAAGTGTAGGTTCTTACTCAAATTTATAGCAAAAAGACTTTAGAACTATAGCAAGATTCCAACAGTTTAACTGAATTTCTGGCAAATTCTGACTTAACAGGATTCAGGAGGGGGAAAATACGGTCACTGACCTTTTCTGTCGATGTGATCTTTACGTTGGAACTTTCTCAAGAATAGGATTTAATTTACTGTAGGAGGCTGGGCCACCAACTAGAAAGGAAAGGGTGTCCACACTCTCTTTGTTTAATCTATCTTTTCTTCTATGCTATTTTATTTTTATGGCAGTTTTCATTTTAAAGGTAAACCAACCAGGGCAAGTGTTTGACCTGCCAGATAAGACACTTTTTGGGGCAACCTCATCAAATATCAGAGTACCTGGATTTGAGTCCCAACCATGCTCTTGATTGCAGCTTCCTGATAAAATGCACCCCAGGAGTTAATAACTGGTGGCTGAAGTACTTGGGTCCCTGATACCCATTTGGGAGAAGTGGATCAAGTTCCCACCTCCAGATTGGAGCTTAACCCTAGCCATTTGAATTAGCAAATAAAAGCACTCATTTATATACTCTCTCTCTCTTTTTCTTCCTCTTACCCCCCGATATAAATAAATAACTTTTTAAAAATAAATTACCTTAAATGAAAAAAAAGTCTGATATTCTTACAAAGCAACAGCTGAACAAGTATAGCATCTAAGGATTTTCACTTTACAAATAGTTTGTTGAACTAAAGAAACCTAAGAAACTTGAGAAAATGTAGCTTAATTATTAGATCTCACAACAAAGGAAGATACTGAAGATTTCAAATACCCTGAGAGCTCATGGTTGCAGCCCAGGCCTGCAGGCTTGAGTGTCCATGGCCAGCCTTCAGCATAAGGTTCCTAGACAGCACCTGCTCCTTCTGAGTCACGTGATACAGTGTAAGGGTGCACTACTCTGCCCAGCTCTCCTTACCTTGATTTCCATCAACCACCAGTTTCCTCACTTAGTAACCAAAGCTTGTGGTAAGGGTACAGAGGAAAATGGAGTCCCTAATTCTTGATTAGTAGTAGAAAGAGAATACTTTGAGTACCAGCCCAGAATTCTGCTAATATGTGCTCTGCCAACTTTTTCAAGGCATACTTGTGATTTATTTTAAATGACTTTCTTTCCAAAGAGTGTCTTTCTACCACATAAACCAACCAACATTAAAGTTTTTGTGTAATTCCATCCTGTCATTTGTCCATAACACACTTTAAAAACATAGAAATGTATGTATGGTTATGTATAATTTGGGTTGTGTTTTTTATTAGTCTATCACAGACGTTTTCCCATGTTACTTTACATAGACGTGCTAACTTTTGAAATATACTTCTTATGTAGATCTGCAAATATATTGGACCAGCGAAGGTTATTGTTCAGTTGGTTACAAATGGAAAAAATATCCACCTGCATGCCCACAGCCTGGTAGGAAAACACTGTGAAGATGGGATTTGCACAGTAACTGCTGGACCCAAGGACATGGTGGTCAGGTAAGTGAGGGGTATAACATGGTGGAAGGTAGGAACAGGGAGGCACAGGGGCATGAAAGCAACAGGCTCTTTTCATAAGAGAGCTTTTTGAGAAACTCTGAGAGAGCTTCATGAAAACAAAAACTTGTGCTGTCACTTCATCTCCATGGAGGAGGGTGACTGCATGTCTAGATTTGCCTGAGACAGCCCAGCTGGCATCTGTGGTCCTGGCCTAATTATTTAGAACACCTCATCTATTTACAGGTGTCCCAGTTTGAATGATAAATTAAATGGTCACTTGACATAGGAATCATTTGTGCTTGTTTCAACAATACTTTTTCCTTCCTGGAAATAAGTATAAGGACAAATTAGAAGAAATCTAACTATAGCAGAAATCAACTCTTCTTGGATAATTTTATGTTCTCAATGGTTCCCTTAACAGATGTATAGTATGAACGTTTGGAGCATGCAGTAGGTAAATAAATATTGTTTCAGCTCGGAAAGTGTGTGCATGAAAGAAGCTAAGGAACAAATCTTTGTTTTGACATTCATTACACTTAAAATAAATGTTAATAGAATGTGGTGCTGATTAAAGGATTGGTCAGGTAAAATAAATTTTTATGAAGTTTTCTAGAAATGATTCCAGGTTAAAAGAATTAAATTTTTCTTTTGAAAAATTTGTTTTTAAAAAAAAACAAAGAGGGAGAAAGAGAATGCGCTTCTGTCTGCTTCCGCAGTAGGGGCTGGGCCAGGCTGATACGGGAGCTGGGGACTCCTTCAACTCGTAGGAGTGGGAGGAGCACAGTTATGCAGCCATCACTTCCACCTCCCTGAATCCGTGTTAGCAGGAAACAAGAGAGGAGCCAGAGTCGATTGAACGCAGCATCTCTCTTGTAAACATAGGCAATGTAACCAACAGGTTAAACAGCCAGCCACATTTATTTTCTTAATAAAACCTATTTATTATACTGAATAATACATACTGTTTTTTCCTTTTACCCAAACACAAAAATAGCATACAATATAGTAATTACCATGATATAAACTGCTGCATGAAATCAGCAATCCCAATAATATTGGTTGCCTTACTTTAAGACACTTTTTTAAAACAAAAAGAAGTAACAATTTTAATTTAATTTTTTGAGACTTTTTTTAGAGTTTTCTAATGTTGCTTTGAATCATTTATGTTCAAAATCCCAATTAATCTAGGAACTCAAAAGAAAGAACTCATTAAAAATCAATGGTAATTAAGCTGATGTAGCATTTTGGCCTTTGAGTTCTGCTCACGTTTCAAGTTGGCTGTTAGAGGGGAGGTTGGGCTTTCATGTCCCTATGTTTTTCTTTGTTTGACTGTAAGAAATATTCAAGTGTGAAAAACCTAGAGAGCTTTCTTTTAAGTCACCAAAATCTGATTCTTTTTGATGTTAGAAAAAACACTCTAGATTGAAGGAAGAAGCTTAAAATGATTTGAAAAAGTTCAGGTGTGCTTTATGAACTTGTTTCCACATCCTCTTGAAAGGCTGGACTGTTTCCTGTTGTGTGTCACAGTTGGTTCATCATCTGTTTTTGGAATACACTTCCAGTTCCTGGCAGACTTGTGAGAGCTTTAAAATGCAGGGTATTGTCATCGTTTCAGATAACTGAACACTTAGTGCTTCTGCAGATTTATTCGAGTAGGTTCTAGTCATTTGAAAATGTGTATTCTCTTTGGTTTTGCTTAATCTGTATGATGATCCTATCATTAACACGAAATTAAAGATATTTATTGTTATGAAATTCCTGGTGTGTCTGTAATTTGGTGTTTCTGTGGTTTGGTTTTTATTAGTCTTGTGATTTTAGAAGCAACTACTGGGTATTTAATTTGAGACATAGGTTAGAAGAAAATTCCCTGTCTCCAGAGAAAGTGAGAAATTATTCTCTTTAAGGCATTTATAGAGTCAGCAGCAGGAGTGAAGGGTCTTCCCTCCACTGCCCAAATGGCTGCAGTGGCTGACCCAGGACCTCTTTCAGGTTTTTTTATGTGAGTTTGGGGGACCAAACATTTGGAATATCCTCTTCTGCTTTACCAGAGAGCTGAAGCAAGGAGCTGGCTCAGAAGTAGAACAGTCAGGACTCAAACCAATGCCCTTAAGGAATGCTGGCACTGTGGATAGCAGCTGAACCGATTATACTATTGGGCTCACCCAAGAAAATATTCTCTTGAAATGCCTTGAAGTGAGAAGTCTAGCAGTTGAGAGGACACATTAATTTATTCCTCCATTTGTGCAACAGTTTGAGCATTTAGACCCTATTGTTGGTCATTATAGTTATTGATTGGTTGTAGTACCATATGATTGTCTAACCCTAGACAATGTCACTGAGAAATTTAATTAGGAGAAAATGCCACTTAATTAGGAGAAAACTATAGCCCACTCAGTAGTCTTTCTTGTTGGAGGATGCTATGAAACTTTGGTACTCCCTTTCTAATTTAGTTTTAGCTAAGTTTTTTTTCTTATACTCTTTTCCAAAATATGTTATTTTCTTCTAGGATCTTTTCTCTCCCCTCTTCCTTTCCTCAAGTTTTCAGTTTTTTGTTTTGTTCTGTTTTGTTTTGTTTTGATTTTCTTTTTAAGAAACAATATTGTGCTGTCTGGAAACCAGAATTTGGTTCCAATTTTATTGCTGTTAATGGGAGGACTAGGGGCAAGTTGCATGGGGTACAGAATCTATCTTCAAGCTCTTTTATCTCCAAGATTCTAGACTCAATTATCATGAGCTAATATTATGAGATAACATGAGCTAACTTGCCACATATGCATCTATGGTATGACATCAGTTATTATTTAGTTCTAACTTGTAGGCAAGAAGATCACATGCAGAAATTCAGGAAGCTAGCCAAAGTTATTCCTCAGACTTGTCAATACTAGAAATGGAACATGATAACCTGCTTTCAATAAGAGAGATTAGACTAAGAGTATAGATTCATAAGCAGGGCACTAGTCCAACATATCCAAAATGATACATAAAAATGACTGTGAAAAGATAAATAGTCTTTAAATTATGAAGACCAAAAGAATTACCTTTCTTTCAGTATTTCTCTTCACTCTTCTCTCTGCATGAATTCTCATTATACTTAGTTTCTGTTTTCAGAACTATTTTATCTGTACTAAGATAATTGTGCCTCAGATAACTAAGTTTTCTTTAAAGTTAGTTATTTTAAAGGCAAAGTTACAGAGAGAGAGAAAGATGGATCTTCCATTCACTGTTTTGTTCCCCCAAATGGCTACCACAGCCAGGACTAAGACAGGGTAAAACCAGGACCTGCAACTCCATGTGGATTTCCCATGTGTGTGTCAGAGGTCCACATACTTGGGCTGTGTTACATTGCTTTCCTGGGCACATTAATAGAGGTCAGGATGGGAAATGGAACAGCCAGGACTCAAATTGGCACTCAGATGGAATGCTGGCATCACAGGCAGTGGCTTAGCCCTCTGTGCCACAGCTCCGGCCTTGATAGCTGAGTCTTCATGATAGCTGTGCTTGTTTTAGTATGGAGTATTTCTCCCTCTAACTTTGCTTTAAGTTTTTGACGATTTCATTATTTTTATTTAAAAGGCAGATTTTACAACAGGATGAAAGAGAGGAGAGGTGTTCTGTCTGCTGATTTACTCCCCAAATGGCACAACAGCCAAAGCAAATCTAATCTGAAGCCAGGATCCTGGAGCTTCTTCCAGATCTCCCATGTGGGTACAGGGGCCCAAGCAATTAGGTCATCTTGCCCTGCTTCACCAAGCACAATTGCAGGAAGTTAGATCAGAAATGGAGCAGTCAGTTCTTAAACCATTGCGCACATGGAGTACCAGCATCACAGGCAGTGGCTTTACTTACAGTGCCACAAGGCTGGTTCCAAGTATATGTTCTAAAAATGCCAGTTAAATCAACTTGTTCAAACTTTACATTTTCTTACTGATTTTCTGTCTACTGGCTCTATAAATTATGGATAGAGGGATGTTGAAATCTCCAGTAATATTTATAGATATGCTTGTTTCTCATTGCAGTTTCTTTATGATGTTACATTATGAAGCTTTTTTTTTATTTAGGTGCATGAGTGTTTAGGATTCTTAAATGTTCTTGATTAATTGAGTCCTTTATCACTAGAAAATGATCTTTTATCCTTGGCAATACTGTTTGATGCAACATCCTTCTTAAGTGAAACTAATATAGCTGATTTACTTTCTTTCATTAATGGTAGCTTAGAACATTCAAATACACACTGCATATGATTGGAACTTTTTATGTTCAGTGTGACCCTCTTTTAATTGAGGTGTTTAAACCACATATATTTAGTGTGGTTGTATATTCATATATAGCATGATGTTCAAGTCTACCAGTCTTGCCATTTTTTTCACTGCTTGTCACATCTGTTCTCCCACCTCTTTTTCTTCCTTCTTTTGCATTATTTGTAATGATCTCATCTTACCTATTTGATTTTACTTTTTTGTATATTCTGTAGTTACTTTGGGGTTTATACTACCCATATTTAATTTAGCATAAAGTCTGCCTTTGAATAATGTTCCTTTTCATGTATAATATATATACTGTGCACTGCTGCCCAGTCATCTCCTCCAAGCCTTTCTGATGTTGTGTCATATATTTACAGTACATCTGCTTTAAATCCCACAATGCATTTTGTTTTTGCTTTAAATATTCAATTACCTTTTTTTAAATATGCCTTAGTGAGGGGCATGCTTTTTTTTAAAGATTTATTTTTATTGGAAAGTTACATGTACAGAGAGGAAGATCTTCCATCCGATGGTTCACTCCCCAAGTGGCCACAACAACCAGAGCTGACCGATCCAAAGCCAGAAACCAGAAGCTTGTTCCAGCTCTCCCACACGGGTGCAGGGTCCCAAAGCTTTGGACCGTCCTCACCTGCTTTCCCAGGCCACAAGCAGGGAGCAGGATGGGAAGTGGAGCTGCTGGGATTAGAACTGGCGCCCATATGGAATTCTGGCACATTCAAGGTGAGGACTTTAGCTGCT